TCGCAGGGAGGAGACGAGCCAGTCAGGGTGTAGTATAGCACCAATGAAACATATACTTTTCCTCTAGTTCTCTAATGCTTCCTCCCCCCCACTATCACGATCCCAATTCTACCTTACAAATCAGGACAGACCAGAGGATGTACACTGGTACAGATAAGAGCTGGAAACAAAGGGAATCCAGGGCAGACATACCCCCTCAGGGCCAATAATGAGAGTAGCGAAACCAGGAGGGTAAGGGGAATGTGGGGGAGAAAGGGGGAACCCATCACAATGATCTACATATAACCCTTTCCCTGGGGGACAGACAACAGAAAAGTGGGTGAAGGGAGACATTGGGACCATGTAAGACATGAAAAAATAATAATTTACAAATATCAAGGGTTCTGGAGGGAGTGGGGAAAAAGAGGAGTTGATACCAAGCGCTCACGCAGAAAGAAAATGTTTTGAAAATGATGATAGCAACAAACGTACAGATGTGTTTGACACAATAGATGTATGTTTGGATTGTGATAAGAGTTGTACGAGCCCCAATAAACTGATTTTTTTAGAAATACAGAAGAAAAGCGAACAGAGAGGTGCACAGAAGATTCTGAGGAAAAAGACAGCAGACAGCAAACTCTCTAACACGTAAGACTTCCAGGGCGGGGAAACCGCAAACCCCAAGCATCGTGTGCTGCAGAAAGCACACTGAGCGCAGTGCTCCATGTGTCTGAGGAGGCGTGCGCCTGCACGTGCCTGTGTGGGAGTGTCTGTATGTGCCTGTGTGCGTGAGTCTGTACATGTCTGTGTGTGTGAGTCAGGGCCCAAGGGTGCCCATGGGGGTGAGTCTGTACATATCTATGCATGTTAAGCACGTCCTTATGTTTGTGTGCCTGAGCACGAGGGTGCCTGTGTATGCCTGTATACATCATAAGTTGTGTGTGTACACCATCTGCATGTTCACACGTACACAAGAGTACCTCTGTGCTCTGGGGCAGGAGGGCTGAGTGTTAGTGAAGCCGCCCAAGGACAAGCCTGGCATGTCCTGCCTGCTCATATGCTCATAGCCAGCACAACTTCGTAAGTCACAGAGGGCAAAGAGTGAGTCTGGTCGAGCAGACCAGAGCTAGCCTCATGTCTTTGCCTCCTACAGCAGCTCTCTGCTGCGCCGGCACACCACTATGTGTGTGTCAGCACCCTGGAAGCAAGCAGTCTCACCTTCGTTACAGGCCAGGTGGGCGAAGAAGGCGATCACCTGCACAGTCTTGCCAAGCCCCGCCTCGTCGGCCAGGATGCCATTGAGCCTCTTCCGGTACAGCTTGGCTAGCCAGTCCAGCCCGATCTTCTGGTAGTCCCGGAGCACCCCATAGAGCAGGGGCGGTGTGTTAAACTTCACCTGCAGCCACACACACCCAACAGAGACCTCCTATTGAAGCAGCTACTGCAGTGCTTCCTCAAGAGAGACACCAATGCTGCCCGGAAGCCCCACTGAGAGAGTGAGCCACAGGAGGCAGGACCAGAAAAGGCAGGCTCCTTTCCCTTCTGGCCCTTGGCTAGTTGGGGAATCAGGGCTCACTCAACAGTCGGAGGCCTTTCCCGGTGACCCACAGCCTACTCCTGCCCAATTTCAACTTATCGAGGACCCCCCTTCCACCCCCCAGGTTGGCGACAATGGTTATCTAACTCTGGAAGGGGTGCATGTGTTGGGAAGGATGTAGAGAAGCTGGCATCCTTGTGTGCTGCCAGAAGGACCACCGCTGCTGTGAAGACAAGTCACCACAGGACGCAGCCCTTCTACTCCAAGTATGTGCACCAAAGAGATGGACACAGGTGCTCAGACAGTGGCCCACATCTGTCCCAGCGGACATCAACTGATGAGTAAGTACACACCGTCTACTGACCCGATGAAATCAGAGGGAACAAAATGCAGATGCATCTAGAACACGAGGGCCTTTAAAACAGTCTGGTGAGAAAATCCAGTCCCCCATGTCCACCTGCCATACAGGCTGACTCACAGCAAATGTCCTCAATAGTGGGCCTGAGTCAGCAGACAGACTTGATGGCCAGGCCCTGGGGGCAGGGAATGGGAGTGGGGTCCTCCTGGGTAGATTCTCCCATTGGGGGAGGAAAAGTTTGCAGCTAGAAGGGGGGCGGGGTGGGTGGGGGAGTGTGCACAGCTGTGAAAGAACTCAGCGCCACTCAATCGCACACTTCAACCTAAGTCACTAAAGGCAGAGAAAGAAAGCAGCTCAGGGCCTCACCGCGGTCACAACACGGGCACTGCCCTTGGGCAGGATGGCCTCGGCCATGGCGGTCACTTGGGCAATGTCTTTCGAGTTTGGCTTGCAGATGCTGATCCTCTCTGCAGCCTGAAACTGGTCCATGATGAACAGGGAGTCGATGAGGACCAGCTCCTTCCGCGCCTGCCTGTCACTCGGGCCGTCCTCCACTCCTATGAGAGACAATGCAGCAAAGGGGCTGGGGCTGCCTGCTGTTGCCAAGTCAGAGAGCAAACCCAAACCCCTCACGTCCAGAGCTCAGTGGTGCTTCTTCATTCTTCATTGCACCTGCCTGTCATGCTCTGTGGACAAATGCCCAGGGACTTGGCGCTGCCAACTCCAGCACATTGCTGGGGAGCCCTCAGGTCTAATTTGTCCCCAAACAACCTGGCAAGTGGAAGATGTCTCACAACGGCCAGGAAAACAAGCAGCAAGAGGAAATGTACCTGATGTACTGCCCCTCCCTGCTCCCCTCCTCCTGAGGTGCATGTGCACCCACGAAAGGAGAACTCAGCAGTCTTGCAACACAGGCAACATGGAGGACACCTCTGCCTTGCTGTCCCTGCCACAAGGAGGTCTGAAAGGACCCCTCTCACAGGACCCTCACTCACCTGCCTGACCTCACTTGCCCTACATGCTTTGAAATGTTCCACTGTCTTTTCATTCCATCTTCCCACAAACCTGGGAAGCCCCCTCAGAAACAATGAGGACAAGGAAAGGGTGAGCGTCAGCTTGCTTTTCACTAGGTGATCCAGGAGCAGTCTGTGTGTCTGCCTAGAATGGTTAAAAATGTAAAAGAAACTCCTCAAAAGTGTCATGATACAGGAGCAGCTAGGATCTGGAAAACACATGAGCAGCCACCTAAGTAAGGTGCGACGGTTAGCCCTCAGCTGCCAGAGGAAAGGAGAGAGAGGCAAAGCAGGAAACACAGCGAATCTAGTCGTTAATCTAACGGAATGATGGACCATGCAAACATCCGTTTCCATGACCCTGAAACTAGAAAAACTAAATGATGCCCAGCTACCCCCACCAATGCTTTGAGAAGGATCCCCTTATGAGACCCTGGATGGAGTGGAAGAAAACGGTGAAAGAACTCACAATCACTACAAACCAGGCTCACTGGTTTGAGAGGCTGGGGAGGGCCCAAGGCAACGGTGTCTAGTTACCCTTCAGGTCTGGAAGGGAACGTCCCACCACGTTAGCCAAACCAACCACTCATGCTCAAAACGGCAGCATTTGCCCAGAGTTTAAATGGTGGGGAAAGGGGGAGGAAAGGACTTGAGAAACCTAGGAAGTGATGGTTCAACGAGGGGTTACAGTAGCTAAGATGAAAGAAAGTATGTATAGACTCTTGAATGTAAACTGATGTTCTCCTCCGTAAACTATCACTTCGCAATTAAAAACACAGTAAGACAAAAAAATCAGTCATGTTGAACTAACAGTCAAAAGTGAACAAGGGTGATAGAAATCCAGGCCCACGTTGAGAATGATGTACAAATGCGCTTTACACAATTGATGTGTAAATTGCGATAACAGTTGTATGAGCCCCTAATAAAATGTTTAAAAAAAAAAAAGAAATCCAGGCCCACGAAGCGACACACCGACACCTGGGAGAAAGTGTGCCCATGTTCTCCCCACAGTCAAAACAAGCTCACTGCCACCAGCCTGATGCTCCTCACAGTGACCCCACACAACTGCCCTTGTGGGTTTCCGAGGCTATCGATCAAATCTCTCTGGGAGCAGAAAGCCTCATCTTTCCCCAAGGAGTAGTTTGGTGGGTTTGAACCACCGACCCTGGTTTTAGCTGCCCAACTGGTACTCACTATGCCACCAGAGCTCCTAAGTAAGTAGAATGTGTCATGTTTATTTTAAAACACACAAAAAAACTTTACACAGAACTTAATAAAACTTTTCAATATAAAATCAAACCTACAGCTCCAATTTTTCCTTTCATTAGACAAAGATGAAGGTAATTTTCAGTCTTTTTTTTTTTTAATAATCAACTGGGATTTATTTTTAAATGATAGCTTTTATTTTAGTTGATTCTTTTTTTTAAAATAAGTCACTTTATTGGGGGCTCTTGCAGCTCTTATAACAATCCATATATATCAATTGTATCAAGCACATCTGTACATATGTTGCCATCATCATTTTCAAAACATTTTCTACTTGAGTCCTTGGTATCGGCTCATTTCCCCCACCCCCAGCCCCATCAAGGCCTCCTTTTATCCTGCTTCCACAGGAACAACTTGGGCTCCTTGTAGAAAGCTGGGGCCTGTCCAGCTCTAGAATTTACCTTCTTCGTCGCTCGTCTCCGCGCTGTCAGGCCTGGGCTGAGGCCACTGGGAGTTTGGCAGAAAGGCACCTTCGTATAACTTCATCAAGTCAAGTAGTGGCAATTCAGCTGGAAGGGAGCACAGGGCCAGAGGTCAGGATGTGAAGAGACAGGGTCACTGCAGAAGTCTGAGAAAAGGACAAAGGCTGGTGACACACACAACTCCTAAGGGAAGTGTGGCCCCAACAGCACCTCTGTTTCCTCTAAAAACACTGGGTCTAGAATATTTTCTTTGTAGACTGTGATGAAAACCTCTACAGAGAAAGGAGGACACTAAGGGTTAACTCACAAAAAAGAAGTACTTCTGGAATTGTCTAATAAATGTACAGCTTTTGTATATCCAAATCCACTGCCACTGAATTGATCCTGGCTCACAACGACCTGAGAGAGGGTTCCCAAGACTGTCAATTATTAAGGAGCAGACAGCCTCATCTTTCTACCCAGAGCAGCTGGTGGGTTTGAACTGCCAACTTTGGGGTTCATAGGCCAATGTGTATTTCACAGCACACCCTGGGCTCCTTGATCCCTCTGAGTGGTCTAAAAGGCAATATTAAAGGCACTGTCGGTTTGAGACCCATAAAACAAACACCCCTGCATTATTTTGTGTACAAGTTACAACAGTCACCATCCTGAACTAAGGGTTGGAGAAAAGGAGAGCTTTGCGTGTGACAAAGCCAGCACCAGTGCAGCCACCAGAGACTGAGGGTAGTGTGGTGTCCAAGAGTGGTCACTGTTTCTGTCCGTGAGAACAGCATGGCTCAGAAAGTCAAAGCAGGTGTGACGCTGGCAGGCTGTTGCACTAAGATCACCCACAGCCTCCACGAACAGTGCTGGTGCCTGGCAGATGTAACATACAGATCCTTACTGGAATAAGGTGGACCCCCAGCTTTAAGACAAAGCCCTCAGGAATGAGGTGGACCCCAGCTACAAGAAGCCCTCAGGAGGCTTCTGGGAGCCCACGGAGGTGTCTACAGGACAAGGCACACCAGCCCTGGGGAAAATGCTGATGTAAGCTAAGTGAACCTGGTTCAGCCGTCCTGGGAAACGCTCCCTTTAAAATCACCAAGACAGAGAGCTACAACCACTGTCCCTTCGGTCAAAGCCAAGGACCCTCTGAAAACAGAACAAGGAGGTGGCACTGGGCAAACTGGACACTGAAACCCTAAAAAGCTGCACTTCTGTGGTACGAAGACAGACTGGCCAGGGGCACCAGAAAGGGTCCAGAAAGTACCAGGTTGGCACCCTTGATGCAGCTCCGTGAAGGGCAGATGGGGTGTCCTCCCGGTCAGGGCTGGAGTGGGTGGGAGAGGGGCTCACCACACAGGGCACCACAGGCACCCACACTCGAAACACAGAAACGTTTCGATCACAACCCGGGCAGGTGTGTCTCACAAGCTCCAGGTAAGTAGGGTGCCTAAGCAGGCCTGATGCCCATGACCACACTAAAGGTGAAGGACGCTTGCTCACATCGTTACATGGAGACCAGAGACGGGCCGTGGGGGTGGGGAGATGTAGAGCAGTCTTTCAACACCTCTCTGGCTCCTGGAGCCGTAGTAGTCAGCGGACTGGGCCTGGCTGGCAGGATCTGGTGACAGGGTGTGCCTCACTCCCTGCTGGTGCGCAGGGCAGCCAGAGCTCTGATCAGCAGTGCTCCACAGCACCGGCAGCCTACCTTCTTTGGCTAAATGCGACAGCTCTGCTTGGTGGTCCACCAGCCCTTCGTTTGCTTCCTCCTCCGCAATCGTCTCCTCCTCGTCTTCCACTGCAACGGTTGCCACCAGTTACTGTCTTGGTGGTTACTCAGCACCACCACGCAGAAAGATCTCAGAGCCGTGCGGTGGGGGCCATGGTGGCTACAGCAGCTTCTCTGTGACACGTGGTGAACAGGCCCAGGAGCCCAGCGGGACTCACATCCACCCTGCCCCATCCACCACAGACTGCTCCCCACCAGACCCCATCTCTCTCACACACACACACACACACACACACACACACACACACACACACACACTCATATCCACCAAGTCATGACCCTGCCCCATCCACCACAGAATGCTACCCACCCACCAGATCCCATCTCTCTCTCTCTTTCACACACACACACACACCCCGCCCTCTGCCCTCCAAACTCAACACTGCCCACACTGACTGCCTGTTCAGCCTTGTTTTCACCACAAGCCCACCCCCAGGTTATACGACACCCACTGTCCACACCACCATGCCCGTGCCTGCCTGCTGGTCCCTCCTCCATGGAGCTCACTCTCCCCCCTCCACGCCGCGCTAGTGAGGCAGTGATCATGCAGAGTGCACAGGTGGCAGCCATCAGGAGCGTTGGCTCGGCTTGGCCAGGGGGACCTTGTACCTCCAGCCTGAGTACACTGAGGGCGTGACAAGGACAGGAGCATGGCCTCTAGATCATGGCGGCCACCAGGGCCTGTTAGGGTTGTTCCTCCCCATGCCACCCCTACCTCTCACGGGAAGTTTACTCCCAACAATGGGGCTGCCCGTCCCAACAAGCAGAAGAGAGAAAGCAAAGTGACCACCTCCCAACCATGGACACTTCACACCCCGCCCCCCGCTGAACCAAATGGCAAACCTGCGTTCCAACAAGGGCTGCTGGGACTGTGGCCTGTGCGGCACCTGAACAGGACCCCTCAGTCCCATAGGGCCACTGCCCTCCCATCAGCCCTGCTGCGGCGTCTGCCCAACCCGGGGCCAGTAGGCAGGAGACTGTGTCGCTCACACACGGCATGCAGGAAGCTGAGCAAACTGCTCGCACGTAAAGGCCGACCAGCTGCTCCCAGAGCACCCACACTGGGTCTCTGGCTTGGGCTCTGCCCTGTCCACTTCGGACCCCTGGCCGGCACCACAACTACTTTCATCAGCAGACCCCTGCAGGCAGCTCAGAACACACCCCAAGTCCCCAGAAGACACACACTGTACCCGGAGAGACGGTACCCTAATCATCCCTACACGGCAAATAGGTGTGGCTGTAAACGAGACAGCTGCAGCCGAGAGGTGTGTGTGCATGCATGTGTGTGCATGTGTGTGTGTGCAGCACACAGACCTTCATCATCTGTTAAGGACATACTGGCTCTCCTCTTTGTTCCCGACAGTCCCGTGTCCTGCAACAAAGGGTTAACGGGAACAAGCGTAAGCTCTACGAACACACCACAAGGGCGCAAGACACACTTGGACAAATGAGGCTGGCTTCCCAGGATGAATGCGTGATCTGTATGGTGTCTCCTCAGAGAACACCGTGGGGGAGCAGCCTGTCCTCCCTGATTTGCAGAGCAGAACACAGCCACAGTCAGCAGAGGGCACTGGTCTCCCCAGGGATGGGGAACATGGTCCTCCCCCCAGGTCTCAGCTCTGCCCAGCCTGCACCTACCAGGAAGTGTTCCGCTCGGACGTCCAGTCCTGGGAAGCGCAGTTCTCTTCCTGCAAAGACAGAAGCAGGCCTGGTTCCACGGAGAATGTCCACCCAGGAAGAGTCCAGCACTGCCTTACAGCACCCTGGCATTCGAGGACAGACACCAGGCCACGGTCCCTCCATATGGAGGCTGCTCCGCACTGCCACTCCTGAGCTGCTGGATGCCAGGACCCAGAAGTCTCCTTAGGGCAGTGAAGCCGAGTGGGTAACAACACAGGCTCACCTGCCACAATGCCTGTCCTCTCAGCATCCTGCAACTTGGCACAGTGGTCCTTCAGCCCATTCTTTCAGCAAAGGAAGTTGGCATTTCATGGCCCAGGAGCCAGTGCGCCTCTACCATGGAGGACTGCCAGGCAGACATGACGACCCGCAGGAGAGCAGCCCCAAAGGGGACACCCAGCCTCCTGAGCCAGCAGGAGGCATCTGCTCTGAGGCAGGAGCCCACCGCTAGAAGGTTCTATCTGTCCAGAGACCCGTGTGCCTGACCTCCGGCCTAACCAGAACCCCCAACCTGTAACCGTACGGTGACACCATCAAGCTCACTGCAAGTGTGGCCCAGCAGATGTGAACCCTGCTCAGGCCACTATGTTCCACGTGGCATCTCCCTGTCACCTAGCAGCCCAACTGTGGCTCCCAGTAGCTGGACCCTGAGGAGACAAGGTCACTTCCTCCCTCTCCTTGCTCTTAAGATTGTCCGGGAACAAAGCTGAGTACTGCCTACTCAAAAGGGACACCGTTCGGGAGCACAGTTCTAAGAACTACAGCCCAGGAAGAGGAGAGAGAGAAACGTTACTTGGCCCCAGAGCTGACAAAGGACTGGGTGCTGACACTGGAGCTCCCTCAGCCAGAGGAAAAGGGAGACACAGGTGTCCTGTCACAAAGCCAGTCCCCAGGGACAAACCACCAGGGCTACAGAGGCTTTCCGCCACACTTTCCCCCTTTTTACAAATTCATTCGGCAGCCTGCACAGCTCCAAACACAATCCTGTCCCTACAGTTTCTGTGATTGATAAACTTGGTCTCATTGGAAGCCCAACATGCTAGGAATTGCCGTCTGAGAAATATCTGACGAGGTGATGTCCCAACTATGCTGTGAATGCGTACATCTCCCCACCCCCACGCACACTCCTGTCCCTCCAAAGTCCTTGTCACTCACTCTGTCCTTGAGAATCAATGTGAGAAGAACAAGTGCAGGAACTCGCCTTGGCCTGCAAACACCCCAGCAAAGCCGGGCGGGGAGACCCCGGGCCAGGACCCAGTGGGAAGAAGGTTTAAAAATCCCATTTTGTAAACACTGTCATGATGTGAGGGCTTTCTGAATGTTTCCTTCATAATGCAGATGCACTCTGTACAATCTGAACAATGTAACCAGTTGTTTAAGTATCATACCTCGCCTGGGAATTCTCTGTAAATTTAAGGCTTTTTTCCTTTTTTCCTCTAATTCTACTTGTAGTTTTATTTCCACAACCTAAACACAAAAAGTTAAAAGAAGCATGTTAGAAAAACTGTAATCCACACAAGTCTGGCTGTTAGACTCTATTAACACAGTCATCTCAAAATCCCTCCCAGAGATCTCTCCAGCTTGGGTTCTGATCTAGTTAAACTGTGTCCACTGTCTGTCAGGCAGGGCGATGAGAAGAAGGAAGGTGGGGGCAGGGACAGAGATGAGAAAGGAGGTGGTGAGAGAGGCAGGAAGAGGGGGAACTATGTGGGAGGAGAGAGGAGCTCTGAGGGTGCCCCTGGTCAAGATTTCCTAGGCCCCTGACTTACTGCAGCGGACCAGGCACACAAAAACCTCTCAGCCTGCACTCCACTTTCTCTGGAGCCAGCCTCACACTCATGCCGGACAGACTTGCCACCCCCCAGAATTTTACCTGCTCAATGTTGGACCAGAAGTACTCTATCTCCCGAGCGGTGGAGGCTGCGATGCGTCTCAGCCGGCTCTGTTCCTCCTTCCTCCCCCTCTCCTCTCGCAGCTGCTTCTCCTCATGATGGCGAGCCACCGTCCTCACCAGCTGTGAACGTGGGGCCAAGGGCTGGGTGACGGGCTCTGTGTCTCCCTTGGACAGCTCTTTAGGACACCTGTGTCCATGCCTCCCATCAACAGCATTTGTGCACCCAGACTGCCAGGACACCTCCATGTCTCCAAGACCCCTCTTCCCGCAGTAGCCCTGTACCTGAGAACAGAAGCAGTGGGCACTGCCTGGCGCTGCCCCCTGCCTGGCCCACATACCTTTTTGGCAGCAGCCACCTTCCACCTCCGCTCCTGGGCGAAGTCAGTGGCCATCCACTGCATCTCCTCCAGCAGGGAGTCCCAATGCGCCCGAGGCCGAGGGGCCTCCTGCAGCTTGGGCAGACGCCGAGGTGACCAGAGGCCCTCCTTCCTCAGCTCTGCTACACGCTGCTGTACCTGGTTCTCCTGCAAGGAAGGGCGAGGCGGAGTCACAGGCCAGACGCTGACACCTGAACACAACGCACTAGCTTCTCAACCACATGCAGGTGGCTGAGTCAAAGAAGGAGAGGGACTCCTGCTCCTTGTCACCTCTGCCGCATGATCTAGTGTCATCTACTGGCACTTTCTCCCGCTCCCTGTCCCTGCCCACTGCCCTCAGGAAGGAGCTTAGCTACACGGAGTGAGAGACATGTGCACACCTGACCCCTCGGCACCACCTTAAGTGACTCTTTACTTAGGAGGCGCCACAGAGAAGAGGCAAGGAGCAGGTCTGGACAAGGAGTGCATCTCGGTGGACTGAGTGGTGCTGGGGCAAGAACACACCTGCCCCCTCCTCCACCCCTGCGGCTAGCTCCACGCTGCCCTTCTCCAGGCCCCCCGCCCCCAAGGGTGCTCCATCTTTTATGTTACAGACCAGCAGTGGCAACCCCCCAGCCAGTACCCCTTCCTCAACAGAGGTCACTGAGATAATTAAGGTTTTTTGTGCCAACCTGGCCGACAAACACATGTGGGATTAATTGAAGGGCAGAGAGATAAACGGCTAGGTGAGTCTTGCCTTTCTAGTTCTTGGGTCTCTTGCTTTCTGATGGTTGAACCCTGTGTGGCTTCAACCACTGTGTGGCTGTCTTAGCTGGCAAGGCTCACTTCCTGGGAGACATCCCTGAGAAGCCACATGGACTTACCCTGATGCAGACCTGGGTGCTGGAGAAGCCGTGTGGAGACCCCTGTCAGCACTGAGATGCTTACACCACCACTGGATACAAAGACTTTCTACCCACTGGCCTGTGATCCTCCTGCATTCGGTGTCATTGTGTGTTTTGTGAGTTTGAGGAGGTCTTTGTAAATCAGTGTTGGACATATGAGCTAAGCTGGACTTATGGGGTTGGACTGAACTGGGTTGGGATGCTTTCTTAATGTACACTTACCCTTTATATAAAACTCTGTTATATACATGTGAGTTTCTGTGGATTTGTTTCCCTTGTTTCCCTAGGCTAACACAGTCACCATGTTCTCCAAAGCGGAGTCTGCTTGCCTAGCCCCCTCTGGGTGCCAGCAACCACCTGGACACAGAATGTCCAGCACCAGCTCACTGGGTGGGGGGTAGCCTTGGCAGAGCAGGCAAGCTTACCAGAATGATCTGTTCCGCCAGCTTCTCCTGAGAAGCGTCCTGGGGGGTGCCAGCATTTTGAGCTGGGCTCTGTGCCTTGGGCGGGACGGGGGCAGCCGTTCCTGGGGACCGGGAGGTGACAGGAGACAGTGACTTGCTGGTTGCTGAGGAAGGTCGATTCACCGGTGAGGCTCGTGTATGTAGGGGTCCCGGGCCGCCCACAGCGGTGAGGGATGAGGTAGAAGAGGAGGTGGACAGAGGCCGCTGTCCAGCCTGGGCGGCATCCACAGGGGGCCTCGTTAGAGTCACGGTCTAGCAAGCAGAAGACACGTCAGCGGCGTCAGAAGTACATATCGCCTAATGAGACAACAACACGCACAGCTTCCTCCCTAACCAGCAGTGACCCAGCGGGTGACCAGAGAGTGGAGCCCTGAGCCCAAGCTGTGCCTTGGCCTCTCCTATCTCTTCTCAGGGGCACACGTGAGCGCATGTGCCTGCTGGCGGCCCAGCAGAACTTGTATAGCTGAAGAAAAAGCATTCCAACCCCACTCCCTGAAGACCACAGTGAGTGGCATGGGACAAGCAGGAAGGAGGGGAGCTGCTTGCTAGCAATAAGGGGTGCCAAGGACCCCCTCAGGCGGCTCCTGTCCATCAGCCAGTGCCAACAAGTGCAGCACCTCCCCAATCAAGAAGAAGGGAGACATCATCACCACCTTCGCTCTGAGGCAAGGCAGTCCCGTCACGGTGTGTGGGTGTCTTTCTGGACACTCAAAGTCATCTCCTCCTCCCTTCCAAGGCCAAGCCACGCCTCATAAGCCAAGCTCATTGCCACTGAGTCCATTCTGACTCAGAGCACCATGGGACAGAACTGCCCCTTGTGGGATTCTGAGTTGCTAACTATTTATAGGCGTAAAAAGCCCTGTCTTCCAAGGAGCGGCTGGTGGTTTTGAACTGCTGATCTTGCGGATTGTGGCCCAATCTGTAACTACTACGGAGCTCCTTCCAGAACTACAGTCCAGGGGAACCCAGTGTTGTGACACATCGGCGTGCCCACTCTTGTGGGAACAGGCTATGCCCACTTTCTCACCCACTAGGTATAGCGGAGGCTGAGTAGCCCTCTGGACCTTCACAGGAAATGCAGGAGGACTCACCCTGCCTCCTAGGATGAGGGGTCTAGAGTTGCTTTAAAGCCAGCAGCAGAACCGTCCCAGAGGGTGAGCCAGTACATGTAGGCCCTGGCTGCAGCCCAGGCACCAACCCTGGCATGCTCGAGGCCACTGCTGCTCCGAGCCCACTGAGGCCTCTGAGTCCATGTCCCTTCTAGCCTCAAACCCATTTTGTGTCCTGCCAGGAAACACAGTGTTTCCATGGGCAGCTTTTCAGAACAATGCTGTCCACCCAGCGTGGCAGTGGCTCTGTTTGAAGTACCTGAGGCGGCAAAGCTTCAGGCATCACAGCCACTCGGCCACTTGCCTGCCACTGCAGTGAGACATGCTGACAGGCAGGTGGGGTGAACTTCACACACTACAGGTACGCAACACGAGAAAAACCCAGAGCTTCTTCTTCTTTTTTTTTCACCCAGGGCTTCTTAAAGCAGGGTGGGACCAGTGAGACAAAGTGCCCCAAACAGAAAGATCCACTTCCAGACTCTAAAGCACACAGTAGCCTCGAAAGTGCCCTCAAGGGAAACACTCGCTTTCTCAAAACACATGCACCTTGGACATGAGGCAACAGAAGGCTCTGGGACCACCTCTGGGCTCAAAGGCAAGCGCCCCATGGTCTGACCATGCTGCTTCACCTCATCTGTACAATGGGGTGGGGGTGCGGATTCTACCTCCCAGGGTTACTGTGTCAAGGGAGAGAAGTAGCTGATGCCACAGCCCATCAGCCGGCAGAGGGCAGACCACTCTGGAGGGGTCAGAGGAGACAGGGAACCAGCTTGATTACAGAGTGGGAAATGAGGGCTCCAGGTCCCACTCCTGCTACCTATCCCATCGATAGCCATGACTTTGTAGGGCCTGGGGGTGCTCGCAGCATGTTCTAGACTAGGGGCCAGCAAGCTGAGGTTCACAAGCCACAAAACTGAAAATGAAAATAAGCTATGATAGGTTCATTTATAACATTAAGTTTTCCCTATGTGTAAGAATACATTTATGACTCCTGAACAATTTTTAAATGGTGAGGGAGAAGGTTGGCTCTTGCGTCTCCAGTGTGCAGACCCCTGTTCTAGATCAGCAGGAGCATTCCAAACGTCCCAGGACTGTGGCATCAAAAAGGCACACGGACAGTGTCCCCAGGAGGCAGTGCCACACACAAGAGATGGGGGGCGGGGACAGGGTCGGGGATGGGGATGTGTCCCTGCAGACTAAACAGGGTGACAACTGCACAGGTGCGAGTGAGGTCTGGGGTCGGGGTGGTTCTAGGACTCAGAAAGAAGCCCAGAATGCGCCTGCTGGCACCAGTCCCACATACCTGTGGCTGAGATGGGTGCTGTGACACGGGCATGTGGGCCTTCCCCAGCATGGGGACATGGAGCGCGGGTTGTACGGACTGCTGCAGGGGTGCAGGGAACTGGCTGGGTGGGGGCCCAGGCGCGGGGGGCTGCTGAGTCTTCACCGTCAACTGCAGCTGCAGCTGTGGCTCCACCATGGAAGGCGGCTGTGAGAACTGCAGCGCAGGAGGCGGGGCCGTGGAGGGGGTGCTGCTTGGGGGCAGCCTGGTGGGGAGCTGCGGCGGTGGGGTGTGCAGGCTGGCAGCGTTCTGCACGGGTGGCCCCGTGGAAGGGTCGTACTGCTGAGGACTCTGCTTCTGCCCCAGGAGCCTCGAGGCCTGCGGAGCCGGGGGCATCCCTCCTGCAGATCCAGAGACAAGCCCCCAGGGCACAGACTTGGGTGGCAGGAAGTGTTCCCTGTTCCAGCCAGCAAGAACACCACCCGCCCCAGTCTCCATGCCACTGCTGGCTGGCTGGAGGGGTGCTGGGCACTGGCTCACCTTGTGCTGTGGGCATCAACTGCTGCAGGGGGACACCAGTGCTCACCCCTGGGTGCTGGAACACAATGCCCTGGTGGCCCACTTCAAGTCGAGGTCTCTTAGAAGGCTCTATATGATTTTCAAAAGCAAGGTGTAGTGTGACACAAAAACGAAAGCTGTAGCGTAGTAGAAAAATGTAGGACAAGTGTTTCTAAAATATTTGCGCAGAAAACCAAATGCAGTGTTAAGAAAGGGTGGAAAGTACAATTTCCTATCATTAAAAATTTGCAAACATTTCAAAAGCATCACTCAAAGGCAAAGGGCAAGCAGCACCTGAGAGCTAAGAGCAGCCACGCACAGGACGGTCACGGCCATTACAAAGGGGCTCAAAACAGCCACAGAAAACAGAATGGAGATGATGGGATTTTTCCACACACGTCCCGAGCCCCCTAGGACTTAGTATTCAGAAAGCTCTCACAAGTTACTATCGAGAATATCCACAACCAGAGAGGAAACACAGGCCAAGAACAGATGTGCACTCATGGGAGGTGCCACGAGCAGACACTGCCATGGCCCTCAAACCACTGCCACAGCAGAGCTGCCCTGGAGGGCTTCTGGGGCTATAAATCCTCACAGGAGGAGAGGGCCTCTTTCCCCCACATCACTGCTCGCAGGTTCAAGGTGCTGGCTTTTCAGTTTGCTGCAGACTGCTTCACCACTACACCATGATAGCCCCTTCCTCAAGATTCAAGAAATCTACAGCAAAACAAGGTATAATTTTTCACCCATCCGACCAGCAGAGACGCTAACACTGGGCATATTTAAATGGCAGATAGGTGAGAGAGAGAACCAAAAGTTACAATGAGGTGAAAGTGCGGGTGCTGCCTGCCCTGAAGGGGGCGGGGCAGCATCAGCAATTTCATTTCCAGGGACTTGTCCTTTGGCTGTACTGACAGTGGAGAATATTTGAGATGAGACGTCCAAATCTTGCACCAATAGCAGTGGGGACAAGGACAGTAATAAATGAATGTAAGCAAGGGTCTGATGAATTAAATGCTCAGCACACCACCCAGAGCCCAAGCAGAGGACTTAGGGAAGAGGCCCACGGCTATCCATTAAGTAAGAGAAGTGATAATGGCACCTAACAGTGTCTCTGTGGGTGGTCACGTGCAGATGTCTGCGAGAAGACATCAGGGGTGTGGGGCTGATCAGTGTCCCCAGAGGCCAGCAGATAACCCGACCCAGAGGGAGGGGAAAGGCAGACCGTGCTGACCTGTTTGAGTCTCAGCCATAAAAAGACTGCGCTCATGACTGGAAGGGAACCTGATTTGAGAAGAAGTGTGGTGACTCCACTGAGAGGACATGAGCCAGCCTGTGCCCAGGAGGGTGAGTCTGGGTCATGCCTGCACAACACACACCATCCCACAGTCACAGGGGAGAGAATTAACCCCAGTCACCTCCCTGGCAGCACCTGCTATACCTTGGCTGCCTGGCTGGGACCTACCTGCCGGCGGAGGCAATGACTGCTGCCTCTGGAAGGGGTCCACTTCAATGGCGCTACCTGCCGTGGCCACCAGGGTCCCTGTGAGTGCTTGCTGTGGGAAAGATGGAGACAGTTGGTGTGAGACCAGATGTGCCTGAAGCAGAAAAGCACACGCACACACGCACGCACGCTGAGACCATCATCACTTGGCAGAGCAGGTCCTCAAGCCCTGTGACCGGGATGATGTTGCTCTGAAACCCCCAGGCGAGTCACCTGCGCCTACACACGCCCTGGGCAGTCTGAGCCCTAACTTGTAGTGGAGGGTCGGGGGGACTGGAAAAAAGAGTGCATGGCTCTGGCTATCGATGGAATGTCAAGTCAATGCAGATCAAGGACCTCACTCACAACCAACAGGCTGTGCTCACATGTGAAGAAAGCAGCAGGCTCAGCCCACTGAGAAGTCACACACACACACACAACCCCCCGAGAACAAAGCAAAACCTGACCACATCAGACTCAGAGAAGTCACTGGAGAACTCACTGGGGTCTTCAAGGCAGGTCATTTTTTGCAGGTAGTGTGCCCCCTACCTGGTACCTATATCTGTGAAAGGCTGTAGGGGTTGTGGGTGACTTTATATATCACCATCAAAGGTCACTAGCATGTCATTTTAAAAAGCAAGATGCTAACCACTCTGGGGCTGGTCGGGCCTTCCACACCTGTGCAGCAAACATCCTTACCCTCACAGGACATTCGGGATGCCTTTCCTAAAGAATAGAGGTGCTGTGTGATCATTCCATAATCTGGCCCTATCCAGTTCCTCACTTGAGACTTTGTTAATGCAGAAGTCACAGAGGGTGGACACAGTCCCTGCAAGCCTGCCACCTACTACTCACCACAGGGAGACAGGCATGGGTCTGAGAAGGAAGTCGACTGGCAGAAGCGCCCTCCATATGAACAGAAGGGAGGAGGGGGGCGAAGAAAAGAGTGATGTGGGGCTAGGCGCCAAGGGGTTAGCAGCAGTTATCTAGGGAGCAGGATTGCCGTGCACACTCGGGTGCGCACACATATGTGATCACGCACATGAGCGTGGGTGCACTTACACATTCGTACTTTTCTGAATTTTCCAAATGTTAACTAATGATCACATATCACACAAGTAAAATCAGCTATTTTTCCATGAATCAAGTCTGGAACTGAACTCACCCTGGGGCTCAACTTTCAGCCAAATAAAGACAGGGCTATAGGGTGAACAATCACCCCAGGGGGGTCTGCACTCCTTACAACAACCAACCACATGAGATCTAAAGGGAAGGAAGGCAGAGGAAAGAAGGGAACATGGAAACAGGAAACTCAGAGAAGAGGTGGAGTGAATGAGTGAGGCTACACTTCCACTTCCACTACCAACTACCACTACCAACGGCTTGGAAAGGGATCATATGGGTCTTGGATAGAGTAGGGCTAAAAACGGCAGAAGAGGATCATAAAAGAGATCAGACCTGCTTGTCAGAGAAAGAGAGGTCGGACGCCTGGGCCTTTCAGGTCCAAAACAGAGCTCACCTCCACATGAGAATAATCAACCAAGGACAAAGTGCAGAGGGTTAGAAAAGGAGGAACAGAAACCAGGAACTCTGGAAGTGGGATTGTCAGGGCCCCCTGAGGAGATTACAATGGATGAATTGAGTCAGAATGTGTACGGACTGATGAATGCAAAAGTAGGATCTGCTTGGCAAACGTTACCTCATGCATAATAAAAAGTTAGTTTTGAAAAAAAAAGATGAAATGTCTGTCCACCAAGAACACTGACAGGCTAGGCCAGCCACAGACTGTGGCTTCCAACTGTTGCTGTCCGGGGTTCCCCCAGGAGGTCCAGACAGACCAGACACGGTGGAAGTGGGCTCTTGACTGTTCTCTGGCTGTTCTGGGAGCTCCAGGCAAACTCCTCCAAGGCCCCTACTGATACAACCAAACCCACTGCAATCCAATCAACTCTGCCTCACACTCACTCTACAGGGTTTCTAAGGACGTAATCCTTATAGGAGCAGACTGCTCCCTTCATCTTTCTCCCACCGAGCACATGGTGGGTTCGAGCCCTTCTGGGAAGGAGAACCCATGCGCCACCACGTCAATGGCTGGAACTGATTTTGGTTAACAGCACACTTTTTATCTTGCACTATTTTGAAGAGTATCTCTCTTGAAACAATGCAGGTGCCTTTAGAAGCCCTGGTGGCACAGTGGTTTAAACATCAGGCTGCTAACAAAGGCAATGTTTCCAGTTCAAACCTATCAGATTCTACACGGGAGAAAGATGAGGCTGTCTACTTCTGTGAAGATTCACAACCTCAGAGGCCCTCTGTGACAGATCCACTCTGTCCTACAGGGTGGCCAGGAGTCGGAACTGACTAGATGGCAGTAGACTTGGCTGAGTGTGTGAATGCCTTTAAAACATAAATCTGATTGTAATCGCAAATCATCACAGTGAATCTTCACAAGAGAAGAAGGTTATTCACAGAGAAAAGGATATTCTGTGATGGGAACATTGTTCAGGTGTCCAGTGAAGAAATATGATGTCAAAGTAATTTTACCCATAGCAGCAGTACTATATGTTCAGAAAGTCTAGAAACTACACCAAGAAACAGATCAGTTGAAGGAAACAGACGTGGAGATCAAAGGAAAGACAACTTAGGACATTTCTGCATGAAACGCCGCAGCACTTGTGCGTCCAAAGAAGAACCCCATAATGATGTGAATGGAGTAGAACTTTCAGGACCTACATTTGCTAATGTGGCACGACTACTCAAAGGGATAAGAAACAGCTAGAAACATTCATTTATAATCAGAATGTGTAAGGTATGAAGTATGAATCTAGGAAAAGTAGAAATCATCAAAAATGAAATGGAATGTACAATGATCAATATCCTATCAGTAAGCTGAAATGTGCTGGTATTGGCCATTTTGAATGAGACAATCATATGACTTACTAAATCAGGAAGGACAAATTCAAGAGGAATGGTACTTTAAGATCAATCTTAAAGTACAATAGGGTAATACCTATACCTCTAATCGGAAGTTCAATTACTGGAACTACTATTCAAATTTACACATCAACCACTAAAGCTAGTGAGGAAAAAAATGGAAGAATTCCTCCAGCTTCTTCAGTCTAAACTTGCTCAAACATGCAATAAAAAGACAGTAATAATCACTGGCCATTGGAAACAGAAGGAGAAATAGTAGTTGGAAATACAGCCTTGGTGACAAAAACAAAGCTGGACATAATGATAGAATTTTGTTAGATTAACCACTCTTTCATTGCAAGCATCCTTTGTCAACAACATAAACGGCAACTATCCAAATGGACCTCGTCGTAGGGAACATACTGGAATCAAATGGACTGCTTCTGCAGGAAGAGACGAAGAAGAAGTTCAATGTTAGCAGCCCAAACAAGACCAGGAGCCAAATGTGGAACAGACTACCAATTGCTTATATGTTCGGTTCAGGTTGAAATTGAAGAAAACTAAAACAAGTCCAGGAGACACAAAAATACATCACACCTGAATTTCCAGAACATCTCACGGACAGATCTGACACACTGAACACTAAGACTTGACCAGCCGGCGTAACATCGAGAGCATGGCACATGAAGAAAGTAAAAGGTCACTGAAAAGGCAGAAAAGTAAGAAAGAAAAGATCAAAGTGGATGCTAGAAGAAAACCTGAACCGTGCTCTTAACTGTAGAGCAGCTAAAGCAAATGCCATTAATGAGCTGACCCAGAACATTTCCAAGGGCAGCTCAAGAAGAAAAAGCATGATAATGAAACGTGCACAGAGACCTAGAGTTGGAAAGCCATAAGAGAAGAAGACCCTCGGCATCTCTTAAGCTGAAAGAACTGAAGAAAAAAATTCAAGCCTCGAGCTGTAATACAGAAGGATTCTACGGATAAATGATTGAATGATGCAGGAAGCATCGAAATAGGATTAAAGAAATACACAGTCACTGGACCAAAAAGAACTGGTTGGCATTCAGTTCTTTTAAGAGGTAGCATATTATCAAGAACCAGTGACACTGAAGGAAGAATTCCAAATAGAACAGAAGGCATTAGTGAAAAACAAGGCTTCAGGAATTGATGGATACTAACGGACATGTTTCAACAAGCTGATGAAGCACTGGAAGTACTCACCCTTCTATGCTAAGAAATTTAGAAGACCTGACTGGAAAAGATCCATTGTCTGTGCTCATCCCAAAGACAGGCGGCCCAAAAGAAGAAAGGGACTATCAATATCATTATCACATGCAAGTAAAATCTTGCTGAAGATTATTCAATAATGACTGCATCAACAGGAAGCTGCCAGAAATTCAAAAGAGGAAATGGCACAAGGGATGGCACCGCTGACCTCCCAGAAAGATGTTTCCTTGTATTTTATTGTCTGTGCAAACACAGTCACCCGTGTGGGTCATGGCACATTACGAAGCGAGCACCGAGAATGGGAATACCCAGGACCCTTCCTTGTGCTCCTGCAGAACCTGCACGCGGACCAAGAGGCACTTGTTCAAACAGAACCAGTGATACAGCATGGGTCCAAATCAGGAATGGTGTGTGTCAGGGCTGTATCTTTTCACCATTCTATTCAATCTGTATGCTGAGCAAATAATCCAAGAAGCTAGACTACATGAATAACATGGCACTAGGATGAGAGGATTAGCCATGTGTACTATGCAGATAACACAATCTTGCCTGGTGAAAGCCAGCGGACTTGAAGCACGTGCTGATTACATCTCAACGTAAAGAAAACCAAACTCCTCACAACTGAACTAAAGACACAACATCATGATAAATGGAGAAAAGATTGACGTCGTCAAGGATTTCTAATTTGCTTGCATCCATAATCAGTGCTCATGGAAGTAGCAGTCAAGAAATCAAACAATATATTACATTAGGAGAATCTGTTGCACAAGACCTTTTTATAGTCTTGAGGAGCAAAGATGATACTTTGAAGACTAAGGTGCACATGTGCAAGTGGAACAACGAATAAAGAAAACTATAGAGCAGCTGATGCATTGAATGATGGTGCCGGCAAAGAATAGCGAAAGTACCGTGGATTGCCAGAAGAACAAA